TTTCTAAACACTCGACAAAGTGTATGTCTGCCCGCTGCTATCTTTCCTGTCTCTTTCTAAACGGGATGGCGGTCAACCCAGTATGAGAAAATGTTCCCTAAAACCATCAGTAAAAGAAAATCAGTAGATCAGCATGGGACCCCGTTTCTTAGAGGTTCAGTTCATGAATGAGGGGCAGGTCTCTTTGCCTGGAGGTGAAAGGGAGGCTGTCTGGTGCCAGCACTGCCCGTGCTTGAGGTTACCTCCTTCCAGCCTGGTGCCGACAGCATGAGAGAGATCGGACCGGATCGGCTCATCCACTCGAGCCCCAGGTGAGCGAGAGCTCAGACCGATGTCACCTCGACCGACGGTGATCTTCGGAAAGCAGCGAAGCAGATGTCACCAAACGGAGAAGCTCCACACGCCTCCGACACGCAAACTTTGGAAACGATGTCTATTTAGTGAAAACCACTCACAGAGTTCACATCATTCATGTATGTTTCAAAAGTTCCAGGTGGCGGATATTTGCATGTTGGAAAGTCCTGACGAACGTGCAGAGTACCACCGAGACATGTTATGGAAAGCAGAGGTGTGACATGAACTGCCCCCCCCCCAAAAAAAACAACACACATCAACAAGCTCCATTTACAGGAATCAAAAACCAGTATGTTTATAACCAAACTTGCTCCATGTTATCCCCAGCTGGTCACTCAAAGAATGGCACATCTACCAAACCTTTAGTGTCTCATTTTGGCTAAGATCTAAGATTAAGTTTGCATACAAGAAAGCTGAACAAAAGTACAACATGGTGCAGCTCTTCCCGTGCCACTCAGACCTTCCATCAATGTAACCTGTGCAAGGAAGGACAAGACTGAACAGACCGGACAACCATCGAAAACAAAAAGAGAAAGAACCACAGAAAATACAGAGTGAAGTTTAAAATCCTCCCTCCAGGTACTACACGTAGAAAACAAAGGAGACATTAAGTATCAGAAGCCGACGATGTAGCTGGAATGCTAAGTAATCGAAAGAGAACCGATTTGTACTTTGGTCAGTTTTGCTCAATTATCACTTTACTTAAGAAAATTAAATAAGCACCACACATAAGAAGCAGCTATACATTTTGGAGACCTGGAATATGTTCTGCATATATACACTTTTTAACGGTCATCACTGCTCATACATCTATTTCTTTAAACTTTTTTTTCCCCACACAGCTTATGATCTGGTTTGCCTGTGACACACTGAGGAGAGGAGAACAGCAAAGAGGAGAAATCAGTCTTTTGCATCCCACCTCTCTAACAAAGAGGAATATTGTACCATCAATCCTAGTGGCTTTTGCAGAGAAGGCGGAGAGGGTGCAGCAGTGCCAAGTCCTCAGCTGCAGAATCTCTGTTATTTTTGGGGGCCGGAGGGGGGTGGGAGTGCACCTCAATCCGTTTAATTTCTGGCTGCGATGACCACAGACAAGGCCACGCCTCCTATGGCAACAGCCGTGGCGCCGAACAGCCATTTCCAGTTAATGCTCTGGGGAAGGAAAAAGAGCAATTATTATTATCTCTTAACATTTTCTTGCAAGCCCCTCCTTGCAATACACAGCTATAGATGCTGTGGCAGGAGGATGTGAGTTTCAGGAGTGCACAAAGCCCATAATTCAATTATAAGGCAGCTGCAGGAAATGTGTTGCTTAAAGAGCATTAATCATCTCATCTACAGATCCAGCCAACCCACCTAAAGATCCCAGAATTATATTTTTGAGTTTCCAAGCACAGGAGCCTCTAATGCCTATAAGCAATTGTTCTTTTACCATATTCTGGCTTCAGACTTTGCAAGTGTGCCAGAGACATAATAATATAATAATTGCTTACACTTATATAGCGCTTTTCTGGACACTCCACTCAAA